TTCAGAACAGAAGGACATGGAGGCATCGGGCATCGTAGAGTCGTAGAGGAAGAGGGATAGGCAGAGAGCGTGAGAGACAGACAGAGACAGATACAGGAACGGAGAGAGAGAGACGGAGAGAGAGAGAGACGGAGAGAGAGAGAGAGATGGAAAGACAAAAAGCAACAGAAAGATAGATGGAATGAAGCCCACCCACACACACACACACGCACGCACGCACGCACACACACACACACACACACACACACACACACACACACACACACACACACACACACACACACACACACACACACACACACACACACACACACGCTTATTGTGAAGTTGAAGATTGGTGGAACTTATAAATTGCCCAGCACGGGGAGGCAGCAAGCTTGTAGAGGATGAACTTGGAATACTTGAGGTAGGAGATGGATGAAGGATGATGAAGGAAACGTTGCGTGAGGATATGGAAAAGCACCTAGATTGTAGGGCAATGGTTTGTGCAAAGCCAGTGCGTGGAGAGGGCATGCTGACCAAAGCAGAAGCTCCATGCTCTGATCGTTTCATCTGCGTGCTTTCATCAACACACTGTTGGATGTTCCAAGCGTTGAACCAACAGCGATTGCTGTTCTCGTTCACCACTCAATTAAAAGCAACGAACAACAAGCTCAACACTACTCCCCTGCTTGTATGCTGGACTAACCATCGCATGTACAGCGGCTTGTCCACACATAGAAATATAAAAAGACCATGATCCCCCACCACCTCCAGCCAAAGACAACCCCCAAAGCGACCAAGAAGAGGACAGCAGGGAGGCAGCAACCGGCAGTGTTTTCACGTTGCAGACATTCCTACGCTAGAAGGCTGCTTCTGGATACCTGCACATTGCGCCATGTTCTGAGGCTCCTCTCGGCGCACCCACGACATGCCGGACGCCCCAGACTGAATGCAGCAGAAGAACTGTGGTGGACGCAGGAAAAGCCTGAAGCAGCTGTCGCATGCTGCCACCACATCGTAAAGAAATTCGCAGGGTTTCTGAACTTCTGGACCCTGCCTCCATGGAGTCCGCGCGCCACTGGCTCCGCACCATCAGTGAGGCGGACCGAGTGCTGTCGATCGCCTCAGAGTCCATCAGCCCCCCCGGCTCCCCGCGCCTTGGGCTCCATGGGCTCCATGGGCTCCCTGTGACTTTGCGCAGATCTTCCGCAGTCCGAGGCCGGAACGAAATCCTGAGCCATGCACAGCGGACGGGACATGTTTGTTGCAGTTTCGTGCGGATCTTAAAGATGGACTGTGAGAAGCCTCAAGCTCAAGAACTATATGAGAACGCGATTTGCACAAGACTTGAACGCCCCAAGAGCTCCAGCAGAGCTCCGGGCGTCCCAGGTCTGTGACTTGCTCTCCTTCTTGCGCCAGGTCGTCTGGATCCCCTTCGCGCCCTGGAACAACCAACACATTACGAAGCCTTGCCAAGGCAGATGCGCATGAGGCCCTGGCAATGGAGGTCGGGTACTGCGTTTTCGAGAAGTTGAGCATGCGCACCTGGAGGATGTTAGCAGCTCCAACCCACGGTCCGAGTCCGAGAACCAAGCGCCCAGTGAGAATCAGCGCCAATCTCTGCCGACTCCCGAGTGCCCGGCTTTGTTTCCTGCCAGGAACCTTGGAGTTTGAAGTTGCGAATGACGCACGTTGTTCCTTTGTTTTTCTTCGCAGATGTCTCTTTGCTAGGCCACGGGCGCCTGGGAAAGCGCCTCACTGCCCAAGCTCACCTTCTTGACCTGCTTCCGGCGAAGGGAACCCTTTGATAGAGGAGGCTTAGACATACCATCCCTCAGAGCACAGGGAATATCGATTGCCAGATGAACAGTATCGATAATAGCTCTGGATCGACCCCAGCACGTCACAATCGTAACAATCCGGTCGTGTTCCACTACTAATTATAGCTCTAGGTGGAAACAATCCTCCCAAGGAAAGCGCGTCACATCTTTCTGAGGGTTTGGAGAGGAAAGGGTTCCATAGACCCTACGGCCATCCACGCAAACATGCCTGAGTCAGAGACAAACCCATTCAGGGAACAGGGCTTATTCCACATGAAAACCGCTACTGCCCATCAACACTTTGGGTGACTCCGGAGAATGAAGAGCTCGAGAGCGAAACTGCCATGCTTTCGTCGTGCGGAGCACACGATACCATTTCGAGCATTTGAGCCACGGCCGCTAAGCCGCTAAGCGTGGTGAGGCTTGGCTTGCAAGCCTTGTACAGTAGCAGGCCGCAAAACGCCCTTTGGCCCCGAAGCAGATGACAGTTAGTGCGGTGTCTAGGTCTAGGAATAGTGTACCGCATTCAATATAGATGCCTCGAACCGCGGCAGTTGTAATGATATCGATTGTGACTCCAACTGCAGCTTGAATAAATGGAAAACGAAGGGCCGGAACCTAAGTTTCCAGGAGCTGCCGAGCATTTCCTGTTGTTTTCCGTGCCTTATACCTAACCTGACAGACAAAGAGGCTGCACCTGAAAGCATCCCTAACAGCCAACTCATTACGACAATAATCAGTAAGGAGTCAAAATTCCGACCCCAAAAGGGCCCTCAACCTGAAACAGACCTTCCAGATATCGCAAGGGCAGTGGACTCTTCCGGTTTGGCCTCTGCATCTCGGCTGCTGGTCTTTTCCAGCGCCCAAACCTTCATGAAAGGTTCAGGGTCTGGGGTCTAGGGTCTAGGGTCTAGGATCTAGGGTCTAGGGTTTAGGGTTTAGGGTTTAGGGTTTCGGGTTTCGGGTTTAGGGTTTAGGGTTTAGGGTTTAGGGTTTGGGGTTTGGGGTTTAGGGTTTAGGGTTTAGGGCTTGCTGTGATAGGGCTGAAGGTTAGGTTTCGGAACAAGCTCGAAAGCTTCGTGAGGTGCGAAAAGCAGCATTGGCCCGATTGTGGAGGGCCATCTAACACTTTTCTCCCACCCCACGCCGTCCAAGGCGGCTAAGCCACCCAAACCTATTCCTTTTTAGGGTTTTAGGCCTAAACTCAGACAACAGCCCACTTCTAAAAACTTAGGCAGTTTCAGGGAGGGTTGCAGCAAGTTTCAGAGGGGCGGGCTCGGCACCCAGTCAGGGACCAGCTGGCTGTGGGTGAAGTGGAGGGCACCGGGTCAGAAAAGGCCAGGACAGGGGGCCAGGGCGGGCAGGGGGGTGCCAGGGGGGTTGGGGGGCCAGGGAGGCAGCCAGGGGACCTTCTGGTACAAGGGGGGTTACTTTATTATAAGGGACCAGTACTGGTCCTGAGGAGAACGTGTTCGGGTACCGGGCCCATCGTGGGTGCTACCGACCTCCGGGCTGCAGGAGGCGGGCAAGCGACCTGGGTCGACTTTCGCCATAGAGGTCGAAGGGCTTAAGCGCCGCCCCCGAACTGTAGGGGGCGGCCTAGGCCCTGAGCTTAGGGTTTAGGGTTTAGGGTTTCGGATTTCGGGTTTAGGGTTTAGGGTTTAGGGTTTAGGGTTTGGGGTTTATTGTTTAGGGTTTAGGGTTTAGGGTTTAGGGTTTAGGGTTTAGGGTTTAGGGTTTAGGGTTTAGGGTTTAGGGTTTAGGGTTTAGGTTTCACGGTTTAGGGTTTGGGGTTTAGGGCTTATAACCAGAACATGACAGGCCCTTTCGTGCATGAGCTTGGAGAACGTTGCAAAACCGAATGTGGCTTTGCCGTAAGCTTGGGGGCCCTTCTAGCACTCTTTGCAGGCAGTTCGCCCAGGTCCTTGAAACTTTCTTTCTTTACTGCTGCGATTGGAATCAAAGCAGCCTCGCCCGGCGTGGCCGCGGTAATCAGCTTGACCTGCCCATCGGGACATGTCAAAGAAAGCTTGCACTCCAATAAACCCATTCCCACCACAACTCCCGCGCCTCAAGTTCCTTAAGGACATCGATGCGCACGGTGACGACGTTACCGGCAGAGCTGGGCAGCATCCTTAAGACACTGCGTCCGAAGTGTTTCAACACAGCCGTCAGATCGAGGCAAACCGGGCTCTTTCCTGAGCCTATGCAATGATGGATTCCTGCACATCTCAATTGGAAGTCCACCGGGCTGCCGCACGGCCAGAGTTGCCGCGCTTGCCGGAAGATCTCTGCCAGTATCCTGAACCGATTCGGGGCTTCGCAGTGGGCTGGATGCCAGCCGTGTCAACAATAAGCAGCACTTGCCCTCATGCAGGTAGCTGCTATCTATCTTTGGGGAATCTGGTTTGCACTGTCTGTTCTTTTTCCAAATCTCAGTGATACTCAGTGACAAGAAGATGGTGCACGCATTTCGTACGCCATCCCGGAGCCAGCGACTAAAAGGGATGGCAAAGGGCATACAACTTTGGTTTCTTGCTTTTGCAGCTGACCTTCTTTCCTTGCACAAAGCTTTGGAGGGTATGGACGGCATCGGCGCAGCAGCAACTTAGAGAGAAGCGAGCGAAAGAGGTTTCAAGGGTGGTCAATAGCACGGCTTTGTTTGGTGATGTGGTTGCTCGCACAAGTGCGGGAGCAAAAGAACAAGCGCATGGAGCCAAGGACGTAGGTTGGAGAGCTTGGCAGGGCCGACACAGCGCAGCTAAGCGGGCTTTCACAAGGGTCCCATGCTTGAATCAAGCCCAGGCTGGCAGCTTAGCTACAGGAGCTTGCCTACAACTACCATACTGCTCAAAGGCTGATCCCGTACGTCCTACTACAACTCTTGCAACTTGCCGCTTTGCTGTTGGCCCATTTGCAGAACTTCGGCCTCAGCGCAGTGCTGGGATCGGTCTTCCCAGCCTTTGGGGCAAAGGCAGAACAAGGCAAGAAAAGCATGTCAGTCCTCTGGGAGCTTGGGTTCACCATCCAGGGTTTGGACCATCTAGATCAGTCTAGATCATCTAGATCCACTTAAAATCTAGGGTCCAGGGAGGTTCCATCTGAAACGTACCTTCTGCATGAGCGCAGGCGCATAGTAGATGAGGATCGCAGGGCCTCGGCCGAGACATGGTAAGAAACTTGGGAAACCCTGAACCTTCAAGGCCCAAAAACGCTAAACCCGCACCTCGCAGGGTGTCTGAAAGTTCTGCTGAGCGTGAGCTTGAGGCGCAAGCCCATGGGAACCATGCCCTCTGGAAAGTTTTCCAACTCGAACAGTTGGTCCTCAAACTCTGGGCATCTCTGCTGATGTTGACTCACTGGCCAACTTTCCACGAGACAGCATCTGCGCAACCGCAAAACGGCAGCTTTGTGTCTGCGTGGCCACTCCTTGCAGCCAGTGTGAGCCAGCTCTTCCTCCAGAACATCACGATCCTGCAACAGGGAAGCTCTTGCCAAGACTGGGAAAACGCACGGGCGGTTACGGGGGGGGGGGGGGGGGGTGTATGGAGCCTCAGAAACCACTCCGAAGACCCTCTCCTCCAATCCGGCGATCCGATGCCAAAGCGAATTTTGCACTTCGCGTGGAGCATGTGCACAGCACCAAGACGGGAGTGGGGTTTCAAACTGTTGGGGTGAGCGCTCTATTTGTCACGCCGGACGACACCGAAATCTGGTATGTTATGATGACAACGAGCACCTCGAGATCGAAACCCGCAGGCAAGCTGCGGCACGCGATGCTGGATGCAAAACGAGCGCCCTGCCTAGCCTAGCCGAGAGCCGCGAAACCGGGCGTGTGCGTGAGCATGCAACCTAACCGATCTAACCCTCCACAACCGCAACGTTAGAACCGTGTTGAGACAGTGTTCGGGGAACCCCATTATCGCTGAGTGCCACGAGTCTCTTCTGGGCCGCTCGGCCGGTTCTCTGAGGCTCACCGCTTCTACACTTTGGAGAAATCGCGCCTGCGCAGGCACCTGGGTAAGAGCACCTGCGGTATGGAGAGCCATGTCAACTATCGTAAACACCAAAAACGAGTGCACCCACTCACGAGATTCACGATTAACACAAGGAAGCCTTCTAGCACGAGACCCCACAAGAACCCTCCATCGATGACTCCAAAGCTGCATCTTGCTACATGCCTGACCACAGGCTCTTCGCTTCCGCATGATGCTGGTGGTATTACATCATGACGATTGCCGCTTTGCATGCTGCAAGGTCACTGCTTCCGTCATTCTGTGATCGTCATTAGGATCGTCTGTCTTCATGCGCCAATGCTGAGCACTGAGGTGCGGGCGGAGGATGGCTTGGCTATCACCTTGTGCCTTGGCGGTTTGGGTTTCGATCCCAGGGCCCTTGATACACGGCTAGGGATCTCGGCGCATGGCTAAGCCTGGGGCCTAAATCAATACTTGGAGCCAGTGGCACACACGTGCGCAGGCAGGCAGACACACACACACACACACACACACACTGACACTGTGTCACTGACTCGCCAAATCCCAAACCCTGCCGTGTGACACGATGACGTGATCTCTGCCTGACCCTTATGAACCGCGTGGCCCGATCCGACCCCAACAGCTGGGGCACCCCCGCCATGACCACCAGCCTCAGCACCGCGATGCTGCCGCGATCTTCGGGCACCTGCTCAGCAAACGAAGCTCAGGGCGTCTGGACGTGCAGGAGACGGCGCCGGGGGAAGCTCGGCATCGTGCCCCAGTTACATGAGGCTTGAGGAGTCTACGAGATCTCTGACGCTTGGTGGCATATTTCTAGCATTGAACTCTGTGCTCTGTGCAAGATTTCGGGTGCTCTGTGCAAGATTTCGGGAAAGCTGGAAAAGAGGCTCCTCAAAGACAAAAGCATGGGGAAAAAAAGAAAAAGATTCTCATGCGCATCTCTGAGCTTCCCGCGGCCCCGAGCGAGGGCTGATGCGAGGTCCATCTCCAGACCTCTTTGGAAAAATGAAGGAAGAAGCTGCATCCAGAAGATCCATGTGGTTATGGCTCTAGCGTCCGAAATCTGGGTTCAACGTGGGTCGTGCCGCTTGGGGCTTGGCGAGGTAGTCCTCCAGCACTTGGGACTCGGACCTGCACGAGAAAAGAAGAATCTGAGTGGTCCGAGGTCGCACAGCCACGCGTGGCGCACTTCACTGCCAGCTCCCCCACAATCTTGAAAGATTTGATGAAGGAGCTCAGCACCTGCGGCTCTCATGTTCTTTTGCATTTACAGAGTGCTGGGATGACGTTGAAGGGTGTCTGCATGATTCTGGCGATGTACTCTGGCAACTTCGACCTGCTCAGTCCCTGCATGAAGACACACGCATCTTTTTGTGAGACGGACTGATGGTTCGGTTTCCGATTTGTGTCCAGACTGTGCGGCTTCAGCTGAGAACTGCCCACGATCTGGGCCCTGCACCGTCCGAGGAAACTTGAGAACAAACTTTTCGCAGCCTTCCTGCCAGCACAAGGGCACAGTCTCAAAACTGGCAACACAACGGATACAATGTAGAAACCTGCAATCGCCCCTTCCCGGAGCCAAAGAGAACAACTACAACAGACTTGCTGTCACGGCGACTCCTCTTAAGGTTGCATGACTTTGCATGCCTGGCCCTGCACGACCTATATCACCCTGTTGAATTCGGTGGGGTCTGATCGTCTGACAAATATGCCGCGTAGTCAGGGGACGAGCTCCTGCGGGTACGGCTCTGCACCCGCAAGGTCCGTGAGCCAGTGGCAGAAGTAGAAAGCGACATCTGCAGGTTCGACACCTGCGTGTCGCTTCATGCCACTTCCATGGCCCCTTTGAGGTTGAGAGAAGTAAGTTTAAAGCTGACTTGGAGGTTCATGGTACCCCCAAGTATAGCTGTACTTGGTTGCCAATGCTTGCACATGGTTGCCCCAGGCTGTGTAGACATGGCAAAGCTCGGGGTAGGGCCGCCGTCCGCCATGCACCTTGGCACTCAGCAAAGCGCTCCACGGGTTTTCACACCTTTTGGGATCTTTTGGGTACTCTTTCGCCCAAGAAGTCCACGGACTCCCTGAAGATGAGGCCGCCACTCTTTAAACTTTGTGAACAATGCTCCAGGCGGAGCTTCGGCCTGCGCCCATAGCACAGTCCAGCAGCTACAGAGAAGTGTTCTCTCAGTTCTCTCCTCCCTCGCACTCTTTGTCTTGAGCACTTCCAGGATGCTGCGCCGGTGTTTGCTTTTGAGGAACTGGGGCGCTGCCGCGCACAACGCCAAGGCGCATTCGCGCATTCGCGCGGGGCACGGTCCCCCAGCATCCCGGGGAGCAACAGCGTCTTCAGGTCCGCTATGCGCAGATCAGAATTCTGGACACAATGCGTTCCTCTTCATACTGGTGCCGACTCATGGATGCACATGCCAGACCTGCAGGTTACATTTGCATAAGGCCTACCTACCACCGGCCGTCGCCACACGGTGAGTTCGGCGCACACATGCCATATCTTAGCCCAATACCAACATCAGCCCGATACTCAATAGCCCGCGGAGCAGGTGGAGTCTAGAAATGTCCACACCCAGTACCCACAGAGGAGGTACGACGCCCTCACACATTGAAGTTCCAGCACTCAGGACGGCTTGAAGTGCACCTGAGCTGATGTGATGTGCAAACAGCGATGTGCACGGGGGAGTGTGTCGTTTTTGCGATTGTTTTTTGCAGGGCATGCCGAGGCCAAAGAAAGCAAGGTGCGGGCTGCAGCCTTTTTCACCCCCCTGCGCGACGCCCAGAACCGGTGAAGCACCCAGCACAAGTATACCAGCATGAGAACACAGAGCCGGACCAACCCTTTCAGATCCCCTCTCATGGTGACTCTTTGGTACATGATGATACTGCTCATGTGTCGATTCCGAACCCCCCCCCCCCCCCCCCCCCCCCCCCCCCCCCCCCCCCCCCCCCCCCCCCCCCCCCCCCCCCCCCCCCCCCCCCCTCCAAGCCACATCTCCTGCGAAAGAGCCACCTTCGACCCACCTCCGCCACCCAAAAATCACGGCTTGCTGCGAATCACTCTCGAACGCCCCCAGCGGAGCCCATGATAAAACCAATGGTCAATGGCTCACACATTTCAAGCCCAGCTCAGGAGGTGGTAGCTTCTGACTCGTGGTGTTTCGTAAGCCTTCTCCGTTTCAATTTGCTCGATGTCTCGAGAACAGGCGGACTTCTCTAGACGTTGACTCTCCGAAGCATCCAGATGCTGCTGTAGACTCTCAAGGTTGCTGAATGTTTTCCGAGACACTGCATATTCCAGCCTTGGAGTAGCCACATCATGCGGCTGAAAGACTCAAAAAAACACAAATTGGCTTCTACTTCCACTTTCCAAAAATGGCATCTCACTACCAAGCAAGGCCCAGTAACTCACCTTGCTCGCCATCCTTCAAGAGGTCCCTTCTCGAATGCCAGGCCTCTAGCGCACAAGCATGGCGCGTCTGACGCGGAGACCGTCGTTGAACTTCAAAGCCGTGCAAGCTGCTCGCAGCTGACCGTAACTTAAAAAATCTAGTCTCCCGGCCATCCGAGCCATGACTGGGATTCGGAACCGGTAAAGCCAGCCCATCAAATATGACAGCTCAACCATATCCCAAATTTTGCCCGAAGGTTCTGGAATGCAGCAGCGGAGCATTGGCCGGCAGCGATCTGAAATCCAGGCTGGTTCGCCCTTGAAGCTGCTCAGATTGGTTGCCACTTGCATGGCGTCAATGTGCACCGACCAGTTGACGACTACTTAAAAATCAGCAAGGAAACCCAGGCTGTCATCCATGAGAACGTTCCTCGGCTGAGCAGAGCGAACTCTCATGCGAGCCGTCATGGAAAACGACATGAACCTCCCAGAATGACTTAAAGGCCTTGCCGCCCGGAGCCATGTCCAGATGCTCAGCAGAGCGTCGAGTTCTTCACTTCCAGCTCCAACAAGCTTTCTTTGTCCACCTGCCTGGCATAGCGTGCCGCTTTAAAGGCACAAAGAAACGGGACTCTAGGCTGCGCGGAGTGCAGCGGAGCGAAGTTCAGTCTAGCACAGTGGTACACAGCATTCAGCGCAACTTAGAAGGATGAACCCTAATGTGGACAGGACGGCAGGGTGAACTTGTTGTCCACTTGCCATACAGGATTGAGGTCGTTGTTGATGACCTGAGCTCTGAGATCGAACTGAGTTTAAGCCATAGCGTCTCAGCGCGAGCTTTGGTGCTGTTGAGTCCCTTAAAGCCTTAAGGCGCACTCGTTAGTGCTCTTTATGATGCTCAATGCATGCTACGGGTCGCACAGTCTACGTCTGCACCTGGCACCGGCCCCTTTGCGGCAGACCCAAACTAAGTCTCACACAGGCGTGGCAAGCTCCTGAAACGGCGTCTGAAAACCATGGAATGCCCGATCAATCTGCATCTAGTTAAAATGTCACTCACAGGTAGCCACGCACTTGTCCTGCCGACCGAGCTTAACCACAACATACGGGTCCGAAACCTTGGCTTTGAACGACAACATTGAGTGGGCCGATGGCTGATGCAGGAACCAAGTCCTAAGTACAGCGAAGTAGAGCCAAGCTAGCACACCCATCCTTCCATACACTTCCGGGTCCGACCTTTACTCACCCAAACAGTCTGGTGATCTTTGGCATCACGCCAGGGTGCATCTCCGAGGATACCCGTATCCCGATTCATCAAGTTGTGAGCCGCCTGAGCACCAGGCAATGAGGCATGAGGACTCTATCAGGTACTGTAGGCTTGTTGGGCCAGAGATACACCAACCAATACCTACAGCAGCCCAGCATTCGGCCCAGAGAGCAGCCTGCACTCCAATCCCGTCCACTCTGCCTGGATGGAGACGAAGAGCGTCCCCGGTATCTTCCGCGTTGGTGAGGCAGGTGACGCAGGCTCCAGCCCCGCCACAGAAGGTGGGGAGCCATCTGCAGGGGTCGGAGGTCGGAGGTCGAGAAGACGTCTACGTGTGTACTTTCGTGTATATTCACGTGCTTCCATGTGAGGCTTGAAGTACAAGTATCTCCGCACTGCTCCTGTCACGGTGCTGCGCACTGCCATGCTGAGATAAGCTGAGTACAAGTCATTCTCCCGGTGCTGGCGGCAGCGGGGGTGGGGAGGCGGCAGCGACCTCACACAGCTCAACGCTATGAGCTTGAATATGCCTTTGCGACAGCACGTGCAGGTTGTCATCAATACGTAGCGCATGCTCTTGTCACTGCAAGGTCGATCAGTCTGGCAGCCTTTGCAAAAACAAAGGTGCCTTGCAGACGGTGACTACGTTAACGAGATTGCCATGTGGCTGAGGCAGGCAAGCGGCAGAGTTAAGGACTGTCTGTACTGACTGTGTTTTCAGCAAAAGACACTACCAAACGACAAAGCATTGCCCTTCAAAGAGGCCTGCGCCTGCGTCCAGTCTGTGGGCTTTGCCGCTGCGTCGAAGTAGCGCCGGTGGAGCTCCTAAGATTCGGGTCTGAACATGCCGGGCAATCTGGGCATCACGGCATTTACACTGGCAACCTGCGGCAACCGTGGTTCGCGTGCCGCAAGTAGAGTCAGAGTAGCTGCGTCAACCGAATCTTCTACTAGTACCTCAAGTCACGATGGCCCTCAGTCTCGAAATGGCGTCCTGCGTCTAACAGGCTTTAGCGACTTTGGGATACACAGTGGCCACAAGCCAGTCAGCCACGTGGCAAAGTCCAGAAGTTGCAGTTTCTCCTCGCGGGCCGTGTTGACTTCTTCATGCAACATGCTTGCAGCACACCTTGCTGTCAAAGTAGGCACTGGTGCTTGAGACAGACAAGCTTATCAGCACCTCCGTCCATTCCTAGAAATCAGAGCCATCAGCCACACCCAACAACGGTTTGAAAATTCTCCCAGCTAAGGTTCAGGAAAGGAGCTAGTAGTCCCAAAACAAAACCCCACGAATCCAGATCAAACCTTGATGGGACGTGATCCGGGTCCTGCGTCGCCTTGGTCTGATACTGCAGGGTCAGTTCCCCAGCTTCCTTTGAGATGTTGAACTTCCTGCCTCAGGGATCTTAGCCCATTTGCAAACCAGACTGTTGCGCAGCTGTCGTTTCCACGTTTCCCTGACGTTTAGCCAAGACTCGCATCGCTGCCTGAGGGTCGACAGCTCAAGCACTGCACACGGCTGTCCAAAGCAAACATGGCGACCATGCTGTTTGTTACATGCTCCCCCACCTGCTGGAGTGCGAGAAGCTGCTCATCGTGGCGCCGATCGACTTCCATCTCTTGCTTCAAAAGCTCCTGCAGACACGCCACATCCGGTTCCAAGCCTGTAGTGGCTGTCTTGGCAACGCCAGGTGCTGCAGCTGCTAGGCTTTGTTCTAGTTCTAGCCGTCACTTCGTCACCTGATCTCTCATCAACTGATCAACTAGGACACATTTCCAACCCATGACGGAAGCTGGCGCACCTGGTCGATGGTTGCGTGCGCCTGCCTGCTGGGCGACTATGACACGATTCGCAGGAGATACAAAATTCATCCTGCATCATTCTAGCAAAAGCTCGGGGCCTCTTGCACTGGTCATTCTTGGCACGAAGGTACTCCAAGTTTGCCTGGCACAAAACAAGCATCGCAAATGCACGAAACATCTGGTCTTGAAATCATCCACAAGACAGTCTTGACTGCGCGACCAGGTGCACGGACATTCGAATCGAATCATCATCGTGCTATTAACTGTTATTGTTTCGTCTTCATCTAATGGCCGCGGTAAATCTGGTCATGCCAAACGGTCAATCTGTGCTTCGAAGCCCGAAACCCAGTGTAGGACACTTCAAGGTCTGCGGAGGCAAAGCTCTAACATGCTCTAACTCTACCAACTCCGAGCCCCAACATTGGACCCTAAACCTTCAGATGAATGGCTGGGCCTCTCAAAACGGCTCCACAGGGCCTGTGAGTCTTAAATTACCTCTATGTCTTCTGGGCATGACTAATACAGAATTGCGATTGGCCCAGCTGGGCCCTGGGGATCCGATCTGTACGGAAATTCCGCGCAGCCTGATGCCGCTGTGTCAAGGTCGCCACGCGCTGGCGAACTTGCTCCTGGCGGATGTGCTGGGATGCTAAGGGGGGCTTGCTCCATTGGACATTGCACTGCGCAGCAAGTCTAGTCCTGCAAGGCCTTGAGGTACTCCTGCTTCCTGGCAATGGGATGCTATGAGGTTCGGGGTTTTCCGGCTCCTCACACGACAGTTGGCTCGGCCACACGGAGCCACACACACACTTGAGGAATCTAGTTAGTGAACTCGAAGAGCAAAAGCCTTTCAACCTCTCACGCCCAAGCAGTGCCCAGGAGCCCTCGACCCCAAACCTTGAATGCCGAGGCTTGCAGCACCTCTAGTACTTCTACAAAACGGGGGACTGTGGGCGTGCACTTTCTCTGCCTTTTGTCGCTGTTGAAGAACTGAAAAAACCCCAGTAACAACAATATTTCTAGACTCTCCAGTCCCACGGATAACTAAAAAGACTGAAAAAGAACAATATTTCAGGACTCTCCACAAAAACCGTACGGAAAATCCGTACGGAAAACCAAAAAGACCAAAAAAAAACCAAAAGAACCAAAAAGACCAAAAAAACCAATATTTCAGTACTGTTCCAGCAGATGGCCTAATTTCAAAGAGTCCCTGAAAATTGGTTTTTTTGGTTCTTTTGGTTTTTTTGGTTTTTTTGGTCTTTTGGGTTTTTTTGGTTTTTTTGTTTTTTTTTGTTTTTTTGTTTCTTTGGAAAATTTGGGTTTTTTTTGGTGTTTTTGCTTTTTTTGGCTTTCCGTACAGATTTGGTGGAGAGTCCTGAAATATTGTTGTTTTTTCAGTGAGAATATTGTGGAGAATCCTGAAATATATTTGTTTGGCTTTATGTTCTTTTTCCTAATTTTAGCTTTTTGCGTGTTTTTGTGCGTTTGTGGCTTTTTTGTGCTTTTCCGTACCGCCTTTCGTGCCTGAGCCCCCCTTCCCTCTTAGAAAATTATGCTTTTTCTACGCTTTTCTATGCAAATTGTACTTTTCTAGGCATCGTATATTTAAAGAGTACTGTATTTAATGGGTACATGAATGATTTAGTTTCATATTCAAGTAGCATGTAAAGAGCGTTTGAGCATTGGTTCTGCCCCCCAAACCCCGCATTCCCATGCTCAGTACTATAGCCTTTACTGGGTGGATGGTATGGTTCTTAGGAATTTGTGCTTTTCAAGGCTTTTCTATGTAAATTGCACTTGTCTAAGCAAATAGTATATAAATGGTATTTCATTAGTACATAATTGAGTTAGTTTTCTGTTGTCAAGTACCATTTACTGAGCATTATGTCATATTCTGTGTATATTCAATAAATCTTGTACTCACCCAATAACTGAATATTCACTGACTGCTAGATTGGTAGAATCAGCATGTAATGAGTACTGCATGGTTTGAGCAATATTTCGCCTAGTAGAAGCAATATTTGCCTGGAAACAGGTTTGTTGCCTAGAGTTATTTGCTTAAACAGTTGCTTTATTTATCTAGAAAGACTTCAAAACCCTCAAATCCAAACTTCACACGAGGTTCTCCTGAGAAGCTTGCATTTCGGTTGTTTGCGTTTGTGAATTTTCTTGTGCTATGACCTTTGTGAGGCAACAACTACTTTACTATGAGAATTGTGCATTTTAAAGCCTGTCTCTTTTCAGGCATCGCGCATCAGTAGTCTTTAACTAGTACTTCAGTAGCATTGGTTTCATTATTATGAAACTCAAGGTGTCTAGCGCGTACTTTAGTTGTGCAAAAAACAGCCTTTTTAAGTTGAATTCATTTAGTCAATACTCAGCTATATACTAAGTGCTGCAGTAGTTAAACTCGCATAGGGCAAATGCTGTGTATAATATACATTGACTATTTCATTCATGCGTAAAAACAAAGCACGTCAGTGGACTTTCCGTGTGGTATTTGATTAATACTTTGCCTCGCGAAACTACAATTTATCTAATAAAGCAACATTCTTTGCCCTTCGAAAGAACAAGTTGCCAAGATACGTTAACACATACAAACTACTGTAAAGCCATCATTGTCCTGTCAAGATTCAAAACATGGAGTAGCCCAATGCTGGCTTATCGGAGCCTGTGAGGCGGGTGTCCCAATTGTCCCAATAGCCGTCCTTCATTTCCCGGTGCTCAAATATGCGAGCTTAGGATTCCTTGTTCTGACTATACTAAGAAAAGTTGAAGCAAGGGTAGGTCGTTGGGAGGGGACCGACACCGTTCCGACGATCGCACTTGATGGGTCGTGTCTCTGGTCCTTTGAGTTTTTGACCTGCTACTTGACCAACAGCCTCATCGAAAGTGAGTTCTCCGTCTTGTCCTCCTAGTTCACGAACTAAGCCGGGTATAGACTCACCTGGATATCTTGCTATAGCCCAAAACACTGGGATACTCACTTGATCTGAAAAGCTGTTTCCATGTGATCAAGGCCTGGCATGAAGCGTAGTAGCACTTCATACATAGCATGTTCTCGCACAAATAATGACAAGGCAATTTCATAATTAAGATGAGAGAGATCACCACCTGAAGATTGAACGATAGTTATCAAGTACGAGAGAGTAAAAAAAACACAAAAAAGTGCACGCCCACAGTCCCCGGACTCTACTTCTATGAATAATACTGATTCATGACAATAATCACAATAATCATAATAAGAAATAATAATAACAATAATAATACTAGTTAATAATGATAATGATTAATAATAGTAATCATCATAATCATATCATAATAATGATAATAATGATAATAATGATAATAATGATAATAATGATAATAATGATAATAATGATAATAATGATAATAATGATAATAATGATAATAATATTAACAAATAATAGTATGATTTGCCAGCTTCCTGGCTCGCAGCTCGCCCAGATTCGTGATGAAGGGGGTTAGGGCTGAAAGGCTTGTGAAGTTTCGCAAGCCCAGTAGACTTGATTGCAGCGTTTGCCCCTCTGATTCCTTGAACAAGGCTCACCTGACAGTATTCGTGAACTTCGGCGTGCAGAAGATCATCACCGGCGTCTCTACAATTACTCCACCACCCTCTGTAGCCTCGCATCCACGCGCTGCGGGTCGGGGAAGCCATCGAGCAGGCTAGGAGGAGGCAGCGGGGGTCGCTCCTTGTGCAAGTTCAGAGAGGTCTTGCTCTCATCTGTGCATGATATGCGCCCTGTCATGTACCAGGACATGCTCGGGACGGGACATCCAGCAGCTGACCTGACAGTACGAGGAGCTGCGCCGAGAATGGCATTGTTCATTCATCTCCACTCTCCAACAGATCACATGAACCGCGGATGGCCTGACTTTAAGGCCGGCTGCACGCGCTGCAGGCACTGAGCATTGGGGCAAGCACCTACGGAAAGCCCCTCTGAGGCCCACGAGAAAGCTCCTGCGCCCCGTGCTCCCGTGCAATGTGCCTCCAGGTGCCAGCGCTCGTGCTTCCGGCAGCGGCAATGGGCTTGCCGGCACGAGCATGGCAAAGCCTAATTGTGCCGCACGGCTCGCCCTGGTTTTATGTCCTAATATGCTGCGTTTTGTGAGACTGGCGGAGAGTACGGCTTGGGTGGGCTTTCGGGCTTCCTGGCTTTCAATACCTAGGTCCGTCTGAGCCGATAGTCATCACGTCATAGAGCACGAAGCATCCAGCTCACTCCCCATGTCGTGAAAGTGCGTCACATGAAGTTTGCACGAATCCCTCCACTGCCCCTGTGGCCTGCACCAGCCAGCCCATGTTGTACTCCATCTTGCACTGGGTGAAACGGATGGAGTCCTGCTGAACACACGAGCTCGTCACCCCGCTCAAGTTCTCACCAAGAAAAGAACTCCTTCTGCTTCTTCGAGAGCTCGTGATAGGAGGGCAGCGCATAGGAGTAATGATCTAAGACATAGCCTCAAATGTGAGAGGCTCGACGACCATGTCAACGCAGTGTGTGCTCTCAAGCCAGAGACTGCTGAGGCTGCCAGCTTAGTGCGATGTCGTGATCATGAATCGTCTCGCCCTCCTGACAACCCGCACCACTTTGCATGATGGAGCGAACTTTGGCTGGCGAGAGGACTAAGAAGATTTGGTCTAACCTAGCAGCGCGAGATTCAAATGATGCACGGCAGAGGACCTGCTGCGAGCTTGGAGAAGCTCAGGAAGCAAGTCATCGCACCCCCATGACAAGTCCCTCCAAAAACGAGCAACAGCCTTGTAGCCGCGGTAGGGCGCGTGATCCGGCGCCACCTTCGGCAGCAGCGGCACCTGTCGGCGCTTGAGGGCTTTGCGAGCTTGGCGCCTGTGACCTGTGATGTCGTGGCTTGAACAGTAGGCCAACCCATAAACAGGTCGAGCGCACGAGCTTCATAATGTCGTGGATGGCTGTCAGCACCTCTTTGTGAATGTGGCAGCAATCACTGACAATAGCCGGGTCTTGCGTCTTGACAACGCAGCATGCTGAACGAGCCGCCTTCATTTCCGAACATGCTGAAAAGTGTGGGTACAGCATGGATGCATATCAATGCTAAAGTGGCCAGTATGAGGTGCTCACTAGCATTGCGAGGACGCGCTCCTCGTCGTGACCTTGGCTTCGGGAACTTGCTCCACTTTGCTGTTGCTACGATGGTTCTCAACATTTTTGCGCAGCTAGTGTGGATGGCAAACCTTGTGCAAGGACTCAAACGAAAGACGGTCCTCATGATCCGAGTCTCGGGCCTTGGACACCATCACACAAAAGACCCGCATCGTGCCTCGGTGCCGCTGCCATGCACTGGCACTGTTGCCAACGCCAGGTTCGTTTGCAGCTCACTCAATGTTGCCAACTTAATTTTGGTTCCAGCATGGGAGTCCGAGCAGGAGCTCATCGATCCTCTCCCACTCAACCTGCAGAATGCTCTTGCTTTTACCACCTTCACTAATTACCCTGTGCTCAAACACTGTCGCGCCTCGCTGAAGAAAGTTTGCCTGGTGCTGGAGAACCAAGCATGATTCCAAACCCCGCTGCTGTTGACAACTTCTTGCCATCTAGAAGACAATGCACCCCACAGCACTTGTCTAAACATGAAAGTCCACCTAAGCTTCGTCAAAAAGCGATAGCTGTTGGACAATGCGGGAAGCAAGCTCCCACGAAATGTGCAACTGGCCTCTTCGCAATCTCCTCCTTCTTGCGTCGGGGCTGCTTGGACCGCGCATTCCTATGCAGGTCGGAAGGCACATACAGCATGTTGAGAGTCACCATTCCCGGTGTAGGGGACGTGCTTGGAGAACGCACACACACACACACACACACACACACACACACACACACACACCCACGTGTGTGCGTGTGCGCTCGCTCACTCCCTCCCCCTCCCTTCCTCCCTCCCTCCCTCAATCACTCTTACACTTGTGTCGCGGTGCTTGCAAGTCGCTTCGGTGACTGGGCAACAGGCAGTGGCTCCCACTCGTCATCTACACCAAAGCAAAACCTGGACTGTCCATGCATCAAAGGATTCTGCAGCAAGGCGTTTGTTGGTGCAAAAATTGAAAGGCCCCTGCGTATTTGCAGCAGGTCCCACAATGAAGCCGAGACCCCAGCGACTCGGCGCCACCTATCTTCCGCCGCATGAACCAGAAGACCGCGAAGAGCGCACCCATCTGACATGAAAGGAAGCCCTCTCTCCCCGTTGCATGCAGCAGAATGCAGCACAGAATAGGACTGCGTACTGCAAACGGCAGACAGCCAAGGCTGCAACTGTGCGTTGGTACTCCTCCAGGGAACTTCGGCCACTGCTGACAAGACCCCCGTCGTCTGCCTGCCAAAGCAGGGAAACACATTAACAACATCGTAGGACGTCTTCTGAAACAAGGACATCCGGTGCCAACCACAGGAACGACGGCAGTACTTTGGCATCTTTGGCCCTCTCAGCAGCGCACCGTGTAAAGCAGCAGCTCTGGGAATGATGCCACGCAGTCATCATAGAAGCCTCAATACTGCGATCGTATGCTCTGAGAGAGACAAAACACTCTCTTTGTTGAGCAACTCTTTTGCTTCTTCTGCCAAGGCCCAGGCTTTTGAGGCTGTAAGTTGGATCGAGCATCCTGGAGCTCCACGGACTCTCAAAAAGGAATCACCGATTCCGTGCGGTTAGGCGGCCTCTTGGCAGCTCGCCGTGCGCGGGACCAGTTTGTGGTCCTGGCTGTGGCAGTTGGCATCGGGAAGCGTTTAAGGAGGCCTACATGGAACAGTCATGAACATTCGGCTTATGTGTCTTGTTGGTCACCCTTCTGCCTCCCCTTCATGAGCTCGGCCACGACGAGCCTGCTCCGGTGATGTGCCAGAAGGCTTCTTGAGACAAGCACGGTCGCAGCCTGTACTCGCCGTCTGATTCCTCTTCCGGGATGACCGTCCTGAGGCAAAGGAAGACAAAACACCAGGCATATCTCGAAACGTAGCAAGAAGGTCGCACTTCGTGGACACACGTCTGAGGAGCCCACTCGAGGAGCATTGGCCTCAAAAACGACGAACATCAATCCACTGTGGCTCTAGAGCAGTGCGGCGCTTGGGTATTGGCGGCTCCAGTTGGCGTTTTGCCACGGGTGTGAAATCCTGGGAAGGACTTTCGCCGGCCAAAATTATCCCACTCTCAAGGGGAACATCGGATGTGAGGCCTCCAGGTCTTTGTGCCGATCATCGGTGAAACTCTTCCTTCAAACACGAAGAGAGCGAGCGAGAGAGAGAGAGAGAGAAGAGAGCGAGAGCGAGAGCGAGACTGAGCGGGAGAGAAGGAGAGAGCGAGAGGGAGAGAGAATGCGAAGCAGAATGTTACAAAGCGATTGCAATGTGATGACAGTGCTTCGCCAACCCGGCAACCACTCTGTTTTCTTCGGCCGAGGCCCTGGCTGGAAGTACAACAGGTCACCGGTTTCAGTGAGCTGGTTCCTCTGAGCGGGCTTTGGAACTAATCGGCCTGTCGAACTATCTGAGCATATCTGAGACGTCATTCTGAAGTTGCCGTCCTAGGCTTCCAAAACCACAGCGTCGAGACGACGCCCTCTCGGCCAGTTTTCGAGGGTCGCAGACTTTGTCCTAAGCTGCAAGTTGGAAGCCTGAAACATGCTTGAAAGTATCGAACACGATCGGACCGCTGCTTCAGCCACAGAGTCTGTTGACTCACCCACACCGGACATGAGACTTTGCGGTCCACTTCAACTTGGCTCATGGCTAACCCGAGTGACCGCAAAGTCATTACCTGCCAGGTCGGGAAAACTGAGCAAGAAAGAACAAAGACAGAGAGAGAGAGAGAGAAAGAGAGAGAGAACAACAAAGACCGAGAGAAAGAGAGAGAGTGAGCACGAGGAAGTAGTTTGCCCATTTTTGTACAGCCATGGCAGTCGGATCCCCGGCCTTCAGGTAGCCCAATAAAGGACATTTCCGGGTTCTCCACATCCTTGAAGAGGCGTGCTGCACAAGTTTGCTTTGCAACGGCAATTCGCACAATCGGTTTCTGCACCTAAACACAGACAACATGGACGAGCAAGCAGAGAGCACGCCAACAACTCGCGGCGAGCCACTTTGACCCGGCACTTCACCGTATGGATGTTGTACACAGTCTTGAGCCCAGGGTAAGACCTGGAATACTCCACCTGCACCAGTCCCATGCCGAAAAAAGCGACAAGCCGCATCGCAATGAACCAGCGAGTCCACGTGGTTCTTGTTTTTGACATGCCAAAGCAAAATCTGCGGCTGCGACGCTACGATGCAAGCTGCCTCCTCGTCCAACCGATACGAGGAGTCCACGATGACCAAGTGCGACTTTACAAAAGCCTGGGCGGGGGAGTCGGGAGGGGTTTAGGCGATGTTCCAGGCAACCTGTGGAAGCACATCAGTGCTTTACTCTTAGCTGAAGAATGGGTGAGTTGACCAGGGATACTGGGGCCCCTGACATGCCTAGTGCCCTTCGATCACAAAGCGATGCATTCAAATACTTATAACATGATACAGCGGTAGGGTCCGGGCCTCATCCATGCCCAGCTTGCCTGGGCACCAGCAGGGACGACAACTGACAACAACAGAGACGATTGTGCTTATAGCCAGCCGTGGGGGGATGGAAAGCAAGGTTGCTGCTGCACGTTCCGGGGCCAGGTCCAAGACACAAATACAGCAATAAAAAACAAGTGGAGTGTTTTTGCTTTCTGATGCTTGACTTAACCCCCACTCAAGGTGCCGATGATGCCCAGCCCAGCAGGGCAAGCATCGTGGACTCTCTGCCTCTTCAATGCGAGACGTCTGGGCGAGTGCTTTTAGAGGTCCCTCCCGGATTTCCACGGATGCCTTCCATTTCCCTGGAAGGTTTGATTTATGCATGCTGTTGTTGATGCGTTATGCGACCATGGAGACTTTAAACGATTTTGCATGAGCATCAGCGGCTCGGGCGAAACCTGGGGAGTGCCTGGGAGATGATCGAAAGGACACAAGCATAGTACCGTGGTTGTCGCGCACTTCTTCAGATGCCCCACAACAGAAGATGAGCATCATTCACACCCATGGTTGCGAAGTTGCAAAAGGTGTCGCTAAGCACAGCAGCTCCTGTGCAAGACTAATGATGTAGCCACTGCATCTGATGCGCTCCATGGTTCTGCTTACCTCCCTTGAAGCCCCGCCGGAACACCCAAGAGCGCTGTCCAAGCCCTTCCAACTCAGCCCGTGCCCGGACCCCATCACTTGGGATGCAGGATCACGGCGTTGACGGGGCTCGGATCGAGGCTGGAGCATGCTGGAGCGTGCCACCAGGCCCACGTTTTGGTTCCAAATATACAAAAACACGTCAAAACACTGGCCACCCTGAAAGCTTAGAGCCCGTGCCGTAGAGGCAGGCGAGCGCAGCGGCCTTCCAATCCTCCGAGACTGCCCGCTTGGAACACAGTAACTACTTCAATTCAGGCAAGAGCGTGCATAAAGTATGTGGATTTCTACAAGGAACGAGAACAGACTTCAGTCAGTAGAAGCCACCATCCGAGTGCGCATGACACTACGACGAAAAACGAAGCTTGCAAGATGCCTGGTCGGATCTCATTCGCATGGTCACCGGACCTGCACACAACCGATAACCGATGTGGGCGGGGGAATTGGAATTGGTCAAATCTGGGAAAAGGACAAAGCATCACTCGTGGCACGGGTACACGCCTTCTTTATGGTTGCGCTCACGCTTTCCAAACTGCATCTTGCCCTTGGAGCGAAGAACCTCACGTCACAGCAGGGAGCGAACGGAAACAGCCCCAAGCCCAAGCACCGTCAAACATCGTCAAACATCACTAAGCCGTCGCTAAGCCTTGGCTATGCAAACCAGGGGGTTGCGCTTTGGTGCTCGATTGAGAGCAATCGAACAGCCGTGGGGCATCCTTGGGCATCCTCGCGTGCTGCTCGGGCTCAGGCGTAATCGACACTAAGGATGGTGGCACACAGCCAGACCTGACAAAGAAAAGCAACCAAAGGCTCAGGTTCGAGAGGCGTGAGGTGCATCGATCTCTGGACAACTTCGGGACAGCTTCTTCATTGCTCGGGTGGAAAAAAGGCTGGCCTTAATGATCTGAATGTTGCGAACGAGGTGGCCAGCCTGGGCTTAGCAGTAAATTCGTCGGTGTTTCTCGCCCTGGTTTCTCTCTTTACGTGCGGAACCGCTGCTGACCGGCTCTCAAGTCAAGTCCGAGCTTCACACTGTGCTTTTGCCCGATCCCCCAAAGCTGGCGGCGCTGCACCAATGTAAGGCTGCTGCCCGGATGTTCAGCGTGGCGTACCGCGACTGGTGCAAGGCGCATGGCTGCAATCCCCCACACCCTAGCCCCCCCAACAGGCCCTACAAACCCCAGGAGTCACTCGTACCATTTTGTATCTGTTCCGGTTGCCTCGTAGAGCTCGTCGCAAAGCTCTGCGGTGGCGCCAGGTGGGTAATCGTTGGTATCGATACCGTGTTCCTCGCAGAGCGGCAAGGGGAGTGTGCGCGCCTGTATGTTTCAAAGCCTCAAAGGGCGCTGAGGGCTCAAGGGGCTGCCTTTCCTTCGATGGATTGCAGGGGCGGGGGCTCTTTGAAAGGATTTAAAAGGATTTTGCTTGAAGTGTTCAAGGCTTTGAGGGCTCAGAGAACCACGAGAACCACATGAACCACCCCCCTATCCCCCCCTCCTGGCCTGCAGCAGCCGCTCCAGGGCTTCCTCGTTGCTCAGCTCTTCGCCTCGCCGGCGCCTGGCTCGTCTAGCTCTGTTGGTGGCGTCGTCCTTTTCCTTTTCTTGTGCTCGTTGTTGGATTTTGTTGGTGGGTTGCTGTTGGTTGGTTGCTGTTCCTTGGGCTGTTGGTTGTTGATTTTGTTGATTGTCGCCTGTACACCTGGAGACCCTGCGATCAAAAAGCGAGCAAAGCAGGGCCACGACCAATTTGCATTCGGCAGGTTTGCCTGCCATGGGACACTGGGATACAAACTGTAAACACGTGCACGCGCAATCACTTTACAACGTCACTCTTCCTGACTCTCCCTCAGTGTTCCTAGCGAGCCCCTCCAGTCAAAATCCTCCGAACATTGCCGGGTGTGCCGCTGGGATGGCTTCAGTATCGAAACTGGTCATGTCTGGCAGGCCGATGGCCTGGTCGTGTGAGAGACACTGAGACTTGGGGAAGACCCGCGAGAAGTCTTTGCTCAGACACCGCAACTCAGGCTGCCCCTGGGCTTCCCGGCTCGAAGCGAGGGCCGTGTAGGGTCCGGAATGTGGATGCAGACGTCATACGTTGTGTACCTTTGGGGGAGAACGCAGGAGAGCGATCTCGAAGCGGCATTACGATGCTGAGCTCCGACGCGCTCAGGCGCAGGCATTGTCTCCACACCGGGGAAAAACATCGACTTTATTCGTTCGACCTGTCAAGAAAGAGAGGCATCGGCATTCGCAGGCATTGCGGTCTCTTCCCTTTTTTGGTACATGCAGTTCTCCAGCAGCAGCCTTATCTGTGACCACATTGTCCTGAGCCAACCTTGTCCACACAAATCATAGCTCACAAGGAGATTCCAAAAGTCACAGGGGTAACCATCCTGCATATTGGATCGTAGTGGGGTCCGTGCAGCTCTTGACGAATTTCCACAGGCAGGCCAAGCCGAGTGGTGAAGAACGCATCCTGCGCGAGTTGAGCAAAGCTTGCTTCCGGCGCAGGCAGCATCAGCATGGATAGTAGCAGCTACGTGTGTGCTGTTGATTCTTCTTGATGCTGTGGCTACGGGCACGTATCATCAGGTTGGCGTCTTTGTGGGCAGTGTTCCATAGTGCTCCGAGCTCCAGGCCACAGCAGATTTCCAGCCAGACCCTTCCTGGCAGAAAGCTTGACAAGACAAGCCAAACCGCCTTGCTCGGCTGACTGTGCTGACTCGAGTTTGCCGAAGGGGTTGTGGTGATGTGTGATGATGTGTGATGATGTGTGACGACGTGTGATGATGTGAGATGGTCCGTCAGGACCTGGGCATGTTGCCTGCCTCGATGAAGGAGGATGGCCGCTGGTTTCTCCTTAAAGGTCGGGGGATTCAAGAAGGAAATTCCTACCTGAAGGGAGTTGATGACTGCCCGGATCCCGCTTGGAGTCTTATCCCAGTCCTGACCAGGGTGCTGTCCTGCGAGGCATTTCTCAAGTGCCACGAAACATTTTTCCATCATCCAGAATCATCCAGCTCACACATCCTTCAGGACCTCGCAGTTCAGCCTCAACTCCATCCCGTGCCCGTCTGGGCCTCAGCTTGACATGAACTATGCAGTCATCCGCACATCCTTGAACCCAAGAAAATGTCCCTTATGTCATCAAACCCCGCTGGGGCTGCCGGCCCGTGACGGTGAGGCTGATGTTGACCTCAAACTCTGCGAGGCATCAAAGGCTCTGCAGGCTCCGAACCGCAAAGTCTGAGGGCGCGGCCAGCTCCATGCGCCTCTCCAAGGAGTCGTTCTTCTTCACGAAGTACGACTTCTTCTCCACCTGAAAAAGACAACTGCCAGACTAAAGGGCTCAGCGAAGCTCCTGGCAGAAGCCCCCCGCCTCCACGTTGCGGTACAGCTCGTCGAGCGTCTTTGCCTTGCGCACACCGCACACTAGGCCACTAGGCCCATGTCGTCTGCGAAGCGCGAGACAACATTCATTTGTCGACTACACCGCATCTGCAAATACCGGTCACTCACAGATAGCACAGGTAGCACAGATGGCACACGTTGACATGCAGACCGCAGGCCCCAGGTGAGGCGGTAACCTGGCCCTTGCCAAACTTGGAGATGTCCTGGGAGAGGTTCCATGCAGTGCCGCACTTGCTGGGGTGCCAGATCACGCCAAGGAGTGGAGTTGAACACAAACGTTACCCTGACACTGCCCACAAACAGCTTCTGCACATCCCTTTAAGGAAAACGTCAGGCATGAAGTCGCATAGGAGTCCGGTTTGCTTCTCAAGACTGAGGGCAACCAAGTCTGGGCGCTGTACGATGCCATGATCCACCAGCATCTGCCTCCGACAAATGGAGTCTCGAGTCTACTGAGTCTGAATTTACGAATCTACCCGCTGCAAGCTCCATCATGCCCCATCTATATCATCAACCTGTCATTCCTTGACTTCCCGTCAAGTCTTCAAGCTAGCTTGAGCTCGTTAGTGCAAGATTGAAAGCAAGGAGGGCCTGAACTCGGCGGTGCAGTGTTTGTCGCCACTTGTCGGCGACAAAGACTGAGCAGGCTTGGGGAGCAGTGGAGATGTCTAGAAGTGGGTAGCCTAGAAGATTCTCAAAGAAAACCCCGAAAGGCCGACGCACTTGCACCGACACAGAGCACCATGCCATCCTAGTAAAAAACTCTCTCCCTGCTGCATTTACCTGCAATCCGCAGCAGATATGTTGGCTGGGCATGCGCGCCTCGTAGCCCGCAGAGGGTGGTGCCTCTTCGGGGAGCTCTGCAGAAGGCTCCAAGTAGTAGCAGTCATTCCTTGCTGGAGGTGGGCTGGGTGCAGTCAAACATCTGGGGGATCGTGAGACCCACAAGCTGAGGCGGTGGGATGAGCCTCTGGCACCCTCGAACAAGTAAACGGCAATCGCTCCAGGACATTGAGCTTGTCCTGCCAAGAAGGCTGAAGCGTGGCCCTAGGCGAATCCGGCCTTTCCTGCTGAAATGCTGAAACAGGCTTACTGCTGCCGACGGAAAGAGCACTACCGGTTGTTTGGCCTTTGTCGACTTCAGGATCTGAACACCTCAGCGGGCGTCAAAGCCAGGCAGCACGAGGCAGCGTGTCGCAAAGACATTCCGTGGATCTCCATGGCGCGCTGGCACGCTCTCGGAACTGTACGAGGTCCCCCAGTCGAGGTTCCGGCAGGAGTCCTGGGGCGCCAAATCCGCAAGTCGCTTGGCTTCTGCCACGGGCTCGCCATAGACAGCCTGCAGAAATCTCAGAGCCGCGGCACGACTGTAGATGGTTGCGGCGGGGCGCCAAATCTCTCGCCTCTCCGCCATTTCGGAGCACCAGCTTCCGCACGACGCCACTGTGCACGCCTTAACAGCATGCGGAACCAATGCCCTGTGAGCTGGCAAGACACGACCCACTGCTCCAGCACGACGGTGGACGAAAAATGCCCCCGAAGGACTCGCGAACAGCAACAGCGATCGAAACGAACCTCCCGCGCGACCCGAAGCGAATCCGCAGACACAGAGACTTGCCGAGCGAACCAAGTACAGTTGTCACTCGTGATCGTGGCTTGTATGGGTCTTTTACAATGATCACGAACACAGCCAGGGACGGGCATCTTATCATCCCACACCAGCAAAACCCAAGCATCAGCAGGAGAACCGACAGCTGTGAGTGCAGGTATGAGTGCCTGACCAATGTGTAGCGCATAAGCTGGCTCCTGACTGATGGCCCAGCCTCAGCATTGGTTGAGTCTGAGCTCTTGTCACTTGCATGCTGTCAATGTACAAGGGCTAGGCGGCATATCAGCTGTCCTAACCGGACAATGCTGTCCTCGTGCGCAAGCACTCGTGGGGCACAAGGAAATGAGACTGACGGAGGCTGAGAGTGTGTGTGTGTGTGTGTGTTTGTGGAGCATGCAGGCGGCTCCTCCAGTGACATGTGCCCTCGGTCGAAGCGCTCCTCCGGCGTTTCATGACCCCCATGACCCCCCCCATCACAAGGGGTTTGATCCGCGATCCGCGGTGAACGGCCGGGTCCTCCTTCGCAATGGAGGCACTGCAAACAAGAAGCCCGTGGGTCGCCTCGGTCCAACTTCGGAGATGAGATCTCGTGTCAAGAAGGTTCAGATGGTGGGGGGGGGGGGGGGGGGGCAAATGGGGCTGATCTGTCTTTTCCTGGTCTGGGGGGAGGCCAAAGCCACGATGCTGATGATAACGCTTGTCAGGAACTGTGAAAGCAACCACTGGCATGGCAGCTCACAAAGATGGGCTCTTGATTGACTCCAAGTCAGAGAAAGGAACTTGTCCCAGCGAAAACTCATGAATATTCACTTAACTCCAACCTCTAAACTCCAGACTTTGGAGAAACATACTCGAACCGACCGCTCTTCAGACCTTGGGCCGCGGCAGCTGCTTCCACCTGCGACAACTGCTCTGAGGACCCAGGCTTTGAGAGTCTCTCTTGCTGCTCGTTACGCCCTGTTTATGCCACCGGATGCGACTAGGCAAACTCGCGACCTTTACAATTCCGCCTACACCAGCCAGCTGCAAGGAAGCCAACAAACCCAAACAATGACCTGGCATCATCCTGATATCTAGTCTGCCAACACCCAAACAAGCTCGGGGCGCCATCCGTGCCGCCACCAGCTTGGCACAATCAGCGAGGCCATCGTGGAGCGCCAAAAGGCGCTCCGCCTGCCAAAGAAAAAGAATCAAAATGAGTCCACGGATGCAGAATCGAGGGTATGAGCTTGCCTTGAGCAGCTTCACATCATCCACGAGGCTCCAGTACTCGGTTACCCAGCATGATTACATACCATGACTTCGAAACACTGCGACACACCAAGCAATCCCCACAGACCCTCCCGGCTGCAGGATGCCCCTTAGCCCCAGGGCTCCGCGCCAGGCACGAGCACTCTTCGCCGTCCTGGCTTCGGGCAACCGGAGCAATTGCCCGAATACCTCAGCATGCCCCTGACTTCAGCCAAGCCACCGTCGGCTGAACCTCCTCTTCGAACATGGCGGGACACAGGGCGGTCATCCTGCCACGACGAGCTGGGGCTGCGCTGATTCAAGGTCGACTTGCAAAGCATGTTCTGCAGCTCCATTTTGGGAGTGTCTACCCCTGTACACTTTCGGAGCTTCCAATTCCGGTCCCGCTCGATGTTGTCTTGGAGTGGCATCGGACGGCGTCCGTGGCCTGGACAAGTCAGAGGTCAAAGCCAGCTATCTTTCACCTGTCTTCACTTCTTTCCGGCTAGGGGTTTGCATACTCCATCGCGCACTCCGCCTGCCTCCGCCCGATCACCTGGGTCACAGCCCGAAACAGACCCAACCGCGCAAATGGTCTTTGCAAGATGTACAGAAGACTCCTGGCCGCACTTAGCCACCCAGATTTGTGCGCTGCTGTCCAAGGTGCAAATACCCTTGGAGAGGCAATGCGCTCCACCCATTCATCATGGCTCTCCATTGAAAATTCTGACAAACTCTACGTCTAAGACCATGGTTTGAGCCAGATAAAGGCAGCACCACCCGCAACTTCTTACGTGTGCTGAGGCGGTGCTCTGCATTGCCTTGTCTCTAGCCTGCGTCTCTAGCTTGCATGATGTGCGGCCAAGCCCCCGGACTTTTTTTACCGGGGAACCGTCCTAGAAATAACGGAGCCACCGGGTGACACCGGGCACCACAGCCTCTCGAGGATGGACCGTAGAAATCCGAACCCTGTAGGCACTACATACTTTGGGAAATGGGGAACTGCATCCCAACAAGTAGGCACTTTGTAAGAAACCTCCAGGGCCGGGCAATGCAGTGGTGTGCATGATATACCAAATATACCAGTGCACAGAAAGCCCGCCGTGCTATCGAACTGAGCGGGTGAAACGTCCGCAACGAATCGAGATGGACACAACATGTAGCGCAGCTTGAGCGGCACAAACTGTTTCACTGAGCTCACGGTAAGGCTTCTCTCATCCAGCCATATGGCTAGGACTCAGCTCAGCTCGCCCCTGCCATCTCCTGCAGAAGGCCTGGCAAGACAAAGCAATCAAAGCAGAGGTGACATTTTCGGGAAGCGCCAGGTACCAGTTGGCACCAGCACCGAGTACTCTCCAGGACGAAACTTTTGCGGCAACATGAGCCCACGCGGAACCTGCAGCGCACGTCGGAGTACCACCTCGCCCAGCAAAAATGGTAGCGAGAGAGAGACGGTGAGAGAGAGAAGATGCCCAACCACCAAAGCTGCTCACGAAGATGAATGACAAAAACCAGGAAATCCCTCGGGCGCAGACTCTTCCAGCGGCTTCTCTGAGGAACGCCAGTTCTTCAAGGCACCTCGTTCGGCTAAAAAAAACCGCAAAAACACGCAAGACTTCCAGAACCGGGGCCATCAAATCCCAGAATCCCTTTTTGGTACCCCCGGTTGGGCCAAAGGAGCTCCACGTCTGTGTGGCCATCCGCTTCTGTTCTTCCGTCCGCATGGACTTGAATGCCTGCTCGTGGCTGGAAGGTTTCGCGTCACGAGGAGGTGGCGGAACTCAGGTTTGTCCAAGGTCGAGTACGAGGGTGAGGATGCGTTTGGCTACAGCGCTGAGAAAAAAACTCTGCCGTGCATCCCCGCTGCCTCTCGCACTGCCCAGTTTTTTCGGCTGTAGGGATCGATGTCCTGACTCTGGCAGTTGCTGAAACATCTGAACTTACTCAAACTGACAGAAGAGCTAAGTCAGTTTCTGAAGTAATTGAAGTACAAGTCCAGAGGAGAGCTGTGAATTCATGAAGATTTGGGCCCTGTGCTATGTGAAGGTCCTAGCTTAAGACAACTGCACTTTCACACGCCTACAGGCAAGGCAAAAGAAAAACCATTAAAAAAAAACAACACCCTTAACCACGGCCAAGTGAGACAGTCACAAACTAAATATGGTACAACACCCGGCTGCTCTCCCCCAAAACCAACAACAAAAACAAACCTCATGCCGCATCACTGCAGCGCCTTGCAGTACCGGGCTACGTCGCTGACGGAAGCAACACCTAACAGCAAGCAGACCACTCGACCCATTTGTGGAGTTGAAGCAATCCGCTGAACGGAGAAAGCTTGGGCCTCTGAGGTACGACCTTTGCCTTCACTAACGAACCGGATTTGCCCGCAGACCCGGGCCTGTAGGCATCAGAAGACTCCCTGTTTTCCCATGCCCCCGCCGCCCTACTTTCCAATTAATTTTGAAGGTTGTTTCAGTGGAGAACTGAGATTTCACGCACAAGTGGCCGGGTCCCGCTGCTCCTGGTGGAGCCCAAAAGAAGGACCTGCCGCCTTTGTTGGTCAATGTTTGTAGATGGAACTGCCCCAAAGACCCACTGAGCCACCGAAAGCCACGAGATTGAGCCACGGAACGCGAACCTAGGACTGAGCCACTCTAAAGTAGGACCTAAGCCCAAACGCCTCCTTATTCTCAACCCTAAGTCTCCCTTTTTCAAACCTGCAACGAGTTTTCAGCTTCTCGGGCCGGGCCGAGACAGTCGACGTGCAGCGTTTATAACGACGTGAATTGCTTACCTTGAGCTAAGTGCTGGCCTCAATCAAAGGGCGCGAACCGGTGTGAAGTACCAGGCATCACTCTCGGGTCGTGGCCACGAAGGCGAATTCGGCCATCTGACCCCACTACCTTCTCAACGCTTCCATATGATGTGTATTGCCAAGGGTGTCGTGAACGGTCAGGCTTGCAGGTAGACTCGACTGATATGGCAACACATAGGTATAAATCAAGAAGTCCAAAAGCCCAAAAGCCCAAAAGTCCAAAAGTCCAAAAGTCCAAAAGTCCAAGAGTCTAAAAGTCCATAGTTCTTGGACTTTTGGACCTTTGGACATACGGCGTGAACATCTTGCACTTTTGGACTTTTGGACATATAGGCCTGAAAATCTTGGACTTTTGGACTTCTAGACTTTTGGACTTTTGAATTTTGGACTTTTGAACTCTTCGACTATTGACCCACACCCTCCATGACAGCCGCGACAGGCGCGTGTCATGGGAGGGGGGGGGGGGGGGTGAGCTGCTACGTATATATATATATATATATATATATATATATAGTTACATACATATATATATATATGCAGATACATATATGTATATAGTCTATAGTATATACATGTACAGAAAGGAATATACCGTTGTACATGCATAGCCGGCGCAGCTGGATCTCAGCCCTGGCCTTCGCCACCTCATCCTTCCGCCGCCGGAGGATGACTGGGGAAGCATCGTAACTACCTGGGGGTGCCGTGCACTGCGCAGTCTCTGGCTACTGGGCTATCCTGAACAACCGCACAACACCGAATGGCGACCCTGAACCGGGCAAGCAGTCCAGCACCCTCAAACTTACAGCATCCGGAGCCCAAGAATCCCCAGGCACTGTCTGAGTATTGCTTCTGTTGCAGGTACGCGAATGAACTTTCAAGAGCCCGGCGAACCCGTCGCTCGTGACGCGGACGGAGGCCTTCCCTGGCGGTAACACGTGGAGGCTCTTACAGTACCATGCAGCAGGAACTGATGGATGGGAAGCTTCTGATTACGTGTCTTCTGAAGAGCCATCAGAAAGGACACTTCAGGAATCACCAGGCTTACTGCACATCAAGTATAACTTGGCCGCATGAAAGCAGCAATGAAGGTCGAGCCCATTTTCATTCCCGATTCACAAGAGGATGTTGTGTTGCAAGCATCCCCAAAGCGGTCGTGCCTGTCATCTGAGTGGCGTACCCTAGCCTGTCCCAAAGATGGAGAAGCTCCCAGAAGCAGAAGGAAATGTGACCATACTACAGACGGCCCAAAAGCGACCGGACTGGTAGAACTGAGGGTCAAGCTACCACATAGAAAGAGTACGCATGTTTGAGGGAATTGGGCCGCAAACGGTTAAAATGACCCTACATCGCAGCGAAACAGCCACGTGAGAAATCACGCCCAACCGCTGCGACGCAAAGCAGGTCTTGTTCACACTGCACGAGATGGCGCGTGCACGAAAAAAAGAACTAACAAACCCGAGTGCATGAGCACACACACAGTGAGCATGGCAAGGGTAGGGCGCTTCTGCTCTGACTCCTCCAGATAGCCGAACTCGTATTAAGCTCAGCAACCAAGTCTGGAGCTCCAATGCTTTCAGGTGGGAAAGTACATAGCCCCAATTCGTGTGACTTGAGCCAAGCTCAGCGCCCACTCTCCCAAAGAATGGCCTCTGAATCTCCGAAACTAAGGCTTTTTTTTTGCGCGGGGATGCCGAAATGTGCGCAAAATGTTATGGTTGTTTTTGCTCGGTTGTCCCGGCCGGGGAGACCGAAGAAAACCAGCAATGTGATACAGGCTGCCCACGGAGAAAAGCAGGAAACCGCACTCGCACAAAGAACGGCTCTCAGCACATGCACATCTTGACGTACTTCCCACTCTTCTGAGATTCTGAGATGCACATGATGCAGCGACAATTCACCAAGCCCTCACGGACCTCGCGCACCTGAAAGCGCCTGCCAGGGACGACCATGCGCACTCCCCTCACTGCACCGGCGCTCTACCGAAAAACCACTCAGCGACTTGCAACTGCTTAACCGTCTTCTCACCTGGGCTTACTTTTGTTGTCGTGAAGTCGCGCTTCCATCGTTCCGAGTCTGTATTGTCTCAAACTCAGTCTCTGTCAGTCACCAAAACCGGATCCGCCCCGCGGCTCCTTGCCACAAATTCTGGGGCGCGAGCTTGAAACTGTACATCCGTTTGGCACCCACCAGCAGCCAGCGTAGACAACAGCATGACAAAGCCATCATCCAGATCAGGATGTCCAGTTTTTCAAAAACAGCTCATAGGTGTGACAGTTAGCAGCTAGCATCGGCAGGTGGATGCTCTTCTTGCCCGCAGGAGCGGACACGAACTCTGTGATGCTCGCCGATCTAACCTTGCATTGTTCCAGCTTTGGAAAACAAGTCGGCGCAAAGAAGAGAGAAGACTGAGAAGACTCAGAAGAAGATGAAGACAGCAATAGTTTAGAGGATGTTGGCATGCCGACGTGACCATGTCATGCCACTGGACTCGCTACGTGGATCTAGTCTGTGCTGGTCAGAAGACTCGCAGCTTCGATTCCAGCCCCACATCTATGCGAGCTTTGGAGGCGCTTCGGCCCATGGAACGGTGAATCCGAATTATGCAAAAGAAGGCTCCGACCTCCAAGTACATTGAACCGATTGAGACATTTAAGTGCTCTGAGACGGCCGGAGCCCAGTGAACCCGAAGCTTCGCTGGGGAATGGCAATGCCTGGAGCAGCATTGTATGAGTGCCCTGAAGACCTAGAGCCATCTACAACATTGTACAAAACTCCACTACAAAACACATTCTGCCAAAAAAACAAATGAAGCCGCTGTTATGAGTTTATGCACCCCCTCGTGCGGCCGTCAGCTCACAGCCCAACTCCTGGAGCACCTCGGGTCACATCTTGGCGGCACTCGTCAAAACAAGCTGCGAGATACAGACTAAAAACGGGGAAACGGAGTAGCACAGCAATAGTTTCTGAAGGAAACAAAGAGATGTAATGAAAGGAGATGGTCACGGAGCTTTCGGCAGCACTGAACCGAAAATGAAGAAACACACCGCACGCTATTCACAGGATTAAGCGCTTCGCGGCTGTGTTGCTGCTTGCTTTGGCAATGTCCACTGCAGTCCTTCCATGGGAATCCTGCAGGCACATGTATGCCATGTCGCGCGACCTCCAAGATCTCCAAGCCACAACTGCTATGTCTACGTCTGCCAAGCTGCCACACCTTGCATGCACAACAACAAGAAGATGACAAACAGCTGTCCTTCTGTTCCTTGGAGGCTCCAGCTTGCAAAAGGTATGCCACCATCCTGCAGCAAGCAAGTTGAGCACAGAGGCATCCGCATTTTTCGAGGTTGTCAATCGCATCTTCGAAGGAATTCGCTGCTTGCGAACTGAGCACCAATGGCAAGCTTGCTACATCCTGATCATCTTGGTTTGTGGAGGGCAAGGTCTGCCAGTCATGCCGAGGCCTCGCATCCCCAAGCTTGCACGCTTTGTGGAGCGGATAGGTCGTCCCTTTCAGCAGAGACCTTGGGCGTGTTGAGTGTGGTCTGGTATGGCTTAGCGGGTTCGTGTTGGATCACGATGCAGGAGACTTCATCAAAAATTTGCTGGGCAGCCAGCTTTTTAGCGGCCCCGACATCCTTGAAGCCGTGCTTCTTCAAGAAGGATGCAACCTAGGACAAAGAATCGCAACGTAAACCTTGATCGTGTTGGTTCCTCATTGCTTTTACTGCTTGAAGCTTTGTCAAGGTGTGTTGGCGGCGAGATGCGGCGAGCCGGAGCCAAAAGAGGTGAGTTCAGGGGATTCAGGAGTTCACCCATTTCAGCTTGCAAGCATCTTCACCACAACACTCCTACCACTACCTACACGCACGTGGCGTTACCTGTGCATGCCCGCCTACACATACACATGCACACAAATTGAGGCAAATATGCGAGTCAGGGAACTGCTTGTTGCTGCTCCTGATCCTCCTTCCGCACAGCCTGCTGGCGAAAGCAATCATGCTGCGTGCGGCTTTCATCCAGGTCCCACCAGTGAAGCCCAACAGCCTAAAGGACGATTCGCTCCTGCTTGCCTGCAATTTCAATGATCGGCCCACTTGCAGACTACCGATGACTCGCCAGCCATCAACTTCCCGATTCCCAAGCCCTCGGACTGCACAGCTAGATCTGACTAGTGTGACAGCTACGCTCTCGGCACTGGGGTTATATGGGCTGGGGACTCGAGCCCGACAGCGTGCGATCCCCCCCATCCACAACCAGAAGAAATTCTCCAGAGGAAAACCCGATGACTGCCAGAAGCCCCAAACGACGTCAAATTCCCACCTCTTCAATCTGGGTCTCTTCGATGGGGGCCTGGTAGCGATTCTTAGAAGTGTCGGGTCCTTTCGGGGACTTTCGGTCGTGACTGGAGGATGCCATGATGGTGCTGCTATCACAAGTCAAGACATACGTGGTTTGGGGAGCGCAGAAGCGGCCTGCTCTTCTGGAATGGGCTCCGCCGTACTCTCCTAACAGCGATCGAAGGTTCTGGTGGCTTCAGGACTCAGGGACCCTTCTGCACGTCGCGTTCAGGCCTGCGCAGGCTGGACTTGCTCCAGCACAGCACCCTGCCATTGCCATATCGAAAGCTTAGGCAGAGCCAGAATTCTTGCTCAGGAAAACCATGGATAATCAGCCCTTGTCGGACAATGATGCTACAGTAGGCAAAAAAGCTAGCCTTCCGCACTCTGCATAGCAACTGCATGACAGCTCTAGAGGCCTCCTGCACGAGCAGTTCCCGTGCCTGGCTGCCAGCGGCTCATGTCCCGGAACGTAGCTTCGTTTCGTAGCGGCTCAGAATTTGCATTTCGAAAGGGCGCCAGGAACTGACTCTCCCATCGTGAAGACGCAGGTTACACCACGACAAACAATATCCATAGGCTACTCTCACTGTCATGCAACTTCACCAACTGCGGTGCGTAGTTCCAACAAGCAATGACCTCCTTCTCCGTGGGAGATTGCGCTCGGCGGAGCTGCCAGTACATCTCGACCTCCTCACAAGGCCGGGCAGCTCCAGCGAGACTGGGCTGGAGATTTGGCAAAGCATGGCAAAGCATTTGGCTATAGGACTGAGGACTGTAGGACGAAGGAGTCCTGCCGCTCAGCTGCCAAGATCCGGTCTGCCTGATTGAAAGCGGTTGGTACGACTACGTACCACTTGCATCCACTTGCTACCTTCACATCTTCCCGCATCTTCCTGCACAGTCCCACACTTTCCCACGCGCCTCCTCATTGATTCTCTGCATGTTGTCGTCCACCACCTCCTGATGTGCAACACCAGCCCGAATCGACCCGCGACCCTCGACTGGTGAGTACGCCTCTTCAGACTCTCTTCTGACTTAGCTTGATTGCCTCACCCACGGAGTCCCCGCGCGGTGCCGGGAAGCTGCATGATGTGCAGCCGAAGGCCATCGCGGACCTCAGATGGGTGTTCGATGGGCTTATGATGGTTGAAGCGCGACTTGAGACCTGGTCAAAAGCCAACCCTAGGCATCAACCGCATCATTCAGGTGAGCGATGCCTGGATCTTTTACTGAGGCCTGACTACATGGGCTCGGCTGAGCATATGTGGCTAGGGATCTGCTGACCTGGTCTGGCTTGGCTTGAAGACTCTGCTGCGCAGACTGCAGACTGCAGAAAAAGAAAACATGTCCGCGCCACTCCGAACGCTCTTCCTGAACGATGCAGGGTGAACACTTTGAAGGCCATGGTGCAAGAGCAAAGTTGCAAAAGGGCAAGAGCGCAACTAGAGCCGAGACGTCTTGTCACAGAATTCGAGCTGTTCCAGCCTTTTGCGCGACAGCAGCCACTGCAACATGCAGTGGCATCACAAACCATGGCTGTCGGGTCGCTCCTTTGGCCTGCAGCTTGCAACTACCTGCCCCTTGCCCCAGCTAATTGCGGACCGCTGGAAACTAGCAACGGCTCGCGTCTCTAATTGCTTGACATTGGAAAGGGAGCGCCATTCATCCCGTATGTTCAGGTGACAGCGGCCCCATGTAGAGGCAGAGACACCCTTGGCCTCTTAAATCTGCACATCTCATCTCACCTGTTTCTCATAAGCCTTCTTCAGCTTAGATGCCTGTGCCACGTAAGGTTTCTTCTCAGCATCCGAGAAGGACCTCCACATCCTCCCGGCTTCGACCATCACCTGCTCCAAGTAACGGGCTTCAGGGTCTTTGTTTTGGGGTTTCAGGGTCTCCTCGTGTTTCGTGCTTGCTGCAGGCCTTAAGCCTTAAGGGCTTGGCTTTTGGGATTTAGGATTTTAGGGATGAGGGTTTGGCGCAGTTTGCGTTCGTACACGCACCAGCTACCACAGCTACCACGTTGCCGGCTGAGCCAATCTGGAATCGCCTCTTTAGGCTGGTGATTGGGTCCCAACGACTTTGCGATGTCTTTCCTGTGTTCTTGGAGCCACAACCTGTTCGGCACCAGCCAGATGCAAATGCAAAGCGTGGCAACTCACAACGAAAAGAAATACCAGAACTTTCTGCTTTGTATGGCGTTTCGAAGATAACCGACAAGCAGCATGTAGGCATTCTTGGGTCTCTTTGGCAGGCTTGGGTCCTGATGGCAAGTCTTAAAGTCGCGGGAAGCTTAACCAATACAAGAACAGACCATGCTCACCACATCGCAGCACGGAATGCCTTTCGGGCTGCGCTTTCACTCGTGCTTTCAGTTGCCGCCTTCTGCACCAAGTAGTCTGCCTGTCAGGCGCGAGAACGACAAGGCTTGCAGCATGTGCCTGCGACACACAAGCGACTACAGCAACTCAGCCGAGGGATGCCGATGGCCCAGAACATGGAGAATAGACATCTGTGATTGCCGGCGCAGGCGGACCGAAAAGCCTCAAATGCTTCGACTTTCGACTTATCGACTCTTCGGGTGTTGCGTGCGTTCCCGTTGGCTGTTGTTGCACGTGCACGTTCACGAGCTTTTCACAGTTTTGCGGACGCTACTCGGATCTCTCTTACGAAGTTTTGTCTCGTCGTAATCGAACGATGCTGCACTTGTTATCGCAAACACGCCCGCGAACACAAAGAAAAGGCTGGCTCTGTACAAAACAGGAGGCAACAGCTGGAGACAGCAGCAAAAGTGTCGCGCGCAGCAACAGACAAGGAGTCTTGACACAATGGACCCATCCTTTACCGGTGCATTCATATGCAAAACTATCCACAAATTGTGCCATACAGGAGCTTTACCTATCTGCGTTCCAAAGCAGAGTCCGCCTTAAGCTTCTCAGCTTCTTCCACATACTTCTTCTTTGCCTCTTCTAGGACTCACTACAGGCTGAAAATCGAGGAAAATCAAGTAAAGCAGGAACCCGACCTTCGCTGTCAATTTCTTCCATTCTTTGCCAGCAGCCTTGGAAACCTCTGTTACCTGGCGAGCGCAAACCCTCCAAGATTTGCAGCAGGTACTACCCGGTTGCTACCCAATCTACCCAGCATCTGGGCACGGCCCAGGCACCCGGCGCCTTGCGGCCTTCCTCGCCAAGGGACTCCTTGATTCGCGGTCGGTTCTCAGCCAACCTGCAGTTTTGACTCAAACGGTCAAAGACTCCACAAGTCAGCGCACCAATCCAGCAGAACTCTGCGTGAAGGCATGTTTCTCACAATGTCTGCACATGCACTGTTTCAACAGAGCCGCCATAGGAAATAGGCGGTGGGCGGCCGCTTAAGGGGCGCTGGTTCGGCCCGCAAGGCTACCCTGGCAGAGTCTTGCATCGTGCACCCTTTCAAAGAGCCGAGGGTGCAAGAAGGAAGCCGGGATCGCCGCGAGTGCCTCTGGGTTCCGTGTCCTCACGGCTCGCAGATGCAGTCACGTAGTCATAGAGTCTTTCAGATCCCGGACACTCAGAACCATCGTCAAGTCCTGGAGTCACAAAGAGGGGCACGCAGGCAAGCCATGCCAGGCATGCCAGGCAAGCCAGGCCAACCAGGCAAGCCAAGGGTCCTCTTAAGCACAAGAACCCATGCGAACCCCCCTACCCATTTTGTCCCCGGCATTCCAAACCCTTCGGCCTCGAGACCGGCGCATCATGTCACACGGAAGCCCAGCGAGATGGCAGTAAGTCGGCAGCTCTGAGCCGTCTTTCATATGCATCTTTCATGCAACTTGAAGCACCCATCTACGCTAATCTACGCTCCCAGGCTTACTGGAATGAGCCTGGGCATGACCCTTCAATAGAACCTCCAAGTACAAGCAGCACAAGAAGCACGAACAGGCAGTGTCTGGTAGGCTAGAAGGCTAGACAACCGTGGGAGGATGCTTGTTACTTGCTGCGCGCGTTCAAACGCCAGCCTCGTCTCATCGGATCGATCAGCATCTGCAGCACAAGGGTCGATTCCGCTGCAAAGGCCAGCACACCAATAAAAACCAGACACAGACCCTTCGGATTTAAGGCTTGCAGCGGTGAAGTAGAGCTCAGAAAGCATGCAACGCCTCTTTTTTTGCAGAGGCTTATGTTTTGGGATTCAGGCCGTGGCATTTGGAGCTTACAGTTCAGCACACGTCTCACATGCCTGGCAGGTGGAACACTTGAGGCAACCTCGGCAGTGTTGCAGCTGCAGCATGGTCACGTTCATGACTTTCTGCAGGCACTTAACATACCAGAACGAGAGAGCTCTTATCCCACATACCATTGAAGGATTAATCACCGGCATCAACAGAAGGTTCTACCTTGTGCTACTGCCACCACTCGCATCAAACTTGCAGTGAGCTGCTTGGGCTGCGAAGAACCAGTTGTCGCAACCTCCTGAAGGAGGTAGGTTGGCCCACAGAAACGAAAGCGAGAGGTAGCGACCACACTGCAAGAGTGAAAGAAGAGAAATCGAAAGTGGGAGAGAGAAAGAGAGAGTGAGACCGCTCGTGAATGCGCAGTGGAGCAGCACATGTGCTAGTGGTTGCTTAGCGTGTTTCGATCTCCAGTGTTGGCCACTGCTTGCAACTAGCAAACTGACAAACTGCGGCGCTCAACAACTTCCAACTTCCCGGAAAGAGAATGGCACCAAGCGCCTCCGACTGCACCATGGCGCACTGGACAAGGCGCTTTGCCGGACTAGGTACCCCGAGGTTGCGTCATACTTCAAAAGTTCACTGCTGTGGCTTAGTCTGAAAATATGAAGTCTGTTGGTTGAGGTGCCAGAACAGGATTGACAGAAAAATTGAATGCATGCTGAGATTTGGCTTCACGGCAGCACATGTTGACCACCACACGCTTGATCTGCGGGTGAGATGAGCGCAGCACGTTCGAAAGAAGGCAGGCACAACGCCCAAAAAGACTCCAGAGGTTGCTCACCCCGAACTGCAATCCCAAACTCTTTGTCCTCGCAGACCCACGCTCCTGGGCACGGGCTCAGGGAGAGCCGAGCCCCCCTCAGCGTGCAGCAAAACACAGCTGAGTATTGAAAATTGCGAGATGGCAGAAACAATTCCGGAAGACGTCCTGGCCAAGATGCCGATAGCCGATTCCGTGAAGTGCCCAGCCCAGGTCCACAAGTTCGTTGCTGCAGGCGAGGGGGTCATCGAAGACCAGTCTGCTCCTTAGCTGTTGAAGCGCTTCTGGCACAGCAAGGCCCAGGGCTGAAGCCCAACGTTAGAGCCTGCACAGCCCAAGATTCCAGGCATTCCAGATCTGCACCTGCCGCGGCCAAAGACAGCTAAGCATGTTTCAAACCATCGGCACACTGGACTTTGGCATGCATTCTTCAAACTGTAATCGACTTAAGGCACTCAACCTCTTGAAGTGTGGACGTGCAGCACCAACTGACCAGACCGGACTGATCCTCAAGGCTTAAGTTACTACAAACAACTTGGATGGTCCTGCAAGTCATGGAGCGCAACGTTCAGCTCGACCAACTGAAACACTTTTGCTTGCACGCCTTGTATGAATGGCTGTTATGTTGTACATCATATTCTAGCATACTCTTCATTACAAGACCGGACCGGTATCCTGCAAACAATCTCACCATCTGCCTTGCGGACTCCCCGATCGTCGGCTCCCGCCTGCCCAACCACACGAAATCAATTTAAGGAAAGACTGGGTGGGCAATGCAGACCAAGTTCAACATGGCACTGGGAGCCCCGACTGGGGACGGGGGTTTCGTGAGTCTGTCGAGTCTGCTGGTGCCTCCACTGTGCGCATCACCCGAGCACGTCCCGGCTCCTCTTCATCACCGAAGACCTGCAGGCTGTGGCATCTAGTGGCGACAACAGCCACAGTAGCCACCTTCTCACTGTGACCTCCCTTCCTCTTGAGAACTACCCATCAGTAAAAATTTGTTGCTTTGTCGGCCCATCACTTGACGGGCATGCCTGGCTAAGGTAGCCGAGTGGAATGTCGCCTGCCCAAACCTGCGGCACGTCGACTCTCACAAGCACTCTGCTTTCATCCCAGCTAAGTAACACTCTCCTGCATCATGTTGCATGTTGATGCACGTGATTGTACGCAATTGCATGGCTAACCGTCTGGAGCCTGCAGATAACGGAGATCAAGCCATGCCTTGCCAGCTCGCACGTTGGTGAGCCATTTTGGACGTCTACTCTGTCTCCTGAGCCGCAGGCGGGAACGACACCGTCCTGCAAAGGTAAGAGACACTGGGCTACAGGCTGCAAGCTGCAAGAGGTCCGGGCGACCGGGCACGTGTTTACGTGAAACACCCCAACATCGCCAATGGACCGAGTCCTCAAGGAGCTGCACGTGCATCGCACGCCGGCCTGTGCCAGGAAGTACCGTACCTGGGCTCATGCAAATTGCATCATCTGGCTGGGCTGGTCCAGCAGCTCATTTCGATTGGTTGATGGTGTCTGCAGGTCTCGCAGCACCGAGCTGAAAACGCTGATCATGATGAACGCTGTTCCGTCACAATGCATCCATGCAGCTTTCCAGCACCTGAAACAGCAGCGTGTTGGCAGTGAGTGAGTTGAACCGAACTGCCGGCCACACACATGCACAAACCGTGTGTCAGTGCAACCACATCTTCCAGCCCAAATTTTTGACTTCCAGGCACTCGGAACCATACGTAGCCCTTTTGCGGAGGGATCTCCGGATCGATGACAAGATTTTCCTTGGCTGCCGGCTACAGTTTTTGTTTGTACTGACACAGAAACACAACCACAGCGGCACAGCGGACTAACTAGTTCTATCTCGTTGGCATTGGTCCGAAACAGCAGCGCAGCCAGGAAGCATCCTTTTTCGGCCCAAGCCAGTCCAGATCATAGAGTTGGCACCAGTACTTGCATCCACTTCTCGCACAGCCCTGACCAGAGTGAAACAAGTTGTTGCCCCCTTCCCAGCTGCAACAAACATCCCCCTAAACAGCACACGTTTTGGGCACACGGAACCAACATGTCCGTTACCGACCTAAGGGTGAGGGAGACCCGAACAAGCGGGACTCTTTGCTCTTTGTGAGTGATGACATTTTCTCAGGTGACAGTCCAAACGTATTCTCCTGCTTCATCTCGGGTTTGGACTCTTCCGGGTCCAATTCAACGAGACATGGTCATTCGAAGACGTTCTGCCAGGCGGTTGGCCGGCAGAGCTGGGGTCTTATAGCGCGGTAGTACACCATGTCACCGACATGCATCGCCACAAGAAGCAACACCCACCGTAGTAGATGATGCCGTGAGCATGTGTTGATGCCTAGAGGAAATGGACAGCACACATCTACAGCTCAGACACAACTCTGACACAGTGCCCGCGCAATTACTCTGTGTGTGTAGTGCCCTAGATCATAGGTACAAAGGGTCACGCCCATTCTTTGTTATTGATGTGTTTGCTGCAATGCTGACTTCACAGTGTTGCTTACACCTTTTGCATCCACATGGTCATGTCAGGAATTAATCAAGAGTCGATTCCCTTGAAACGGGGGTTTTCAACGAAATCCACGAAACATTGCCAAACTCTTGCTTACATTGCTGTTCGTTCAGGAAGGCAAGGGAAACAAGAGCTCTCCTCCCTAGATCCAGAGTTGATTCTCTTGAGAGGGGGGGTTCAACAAGAACGCAGAAGCTGCAACGACTTTTTAAGTGTTCTTCAAGCTCTTGCTTCCATGGTTGCCAGGTTCTGCCAACATAAGGCGCACATGCAGCCTGTCCGAGCAGGCGAGCCGTTATTCACCGTGCCTCCTCGGGAAGGCCTTCGGGTGCAGTTTTCCCGCCCTGCAGCAGCTGCCAGAGCACCTCTCAAAGTCAAGGCAGGAGCTTTCAGAAGGAGCTTCGCAGAGATGCGCAGAGATGCGCAGAGCAGCGGAAGCCACAGCGGCTAGGCGGCTTAGGGCCGTTTAGGCCAGGGCCTCCTCACTGAATTCCCCGCTTCCCAGCTGCAGCTCAAGTTGCCCACCATGGCCAAGGCCTGGTAACAAGGGTGCTTCATAGTGCTCTTCGCAGTGGTCTGAAAGAAACAAAGCTGCAAGGCAGTGGAAGGACAGTTCTGCTTGTTCCGCGCTTCCAGTGACATGGTGAGTCCAGTGAGGCCCGGCACCTTCGAAGGTTCCCATGCGCCGGATGCGGAAGGGCCAGCCTGGCGAGTTGGCCAAGTGATACCAAGTGCAAGTGCACTGCCAGCTCTGCGCTCCATCCACAATGCAAGAACCCGATGGAACCTGCATGACACACATGTCATCGCAGTGCCTCCGATACTTAGCAAAGCGAATTGGTGCCCTTCCACTGCTCCTCAGCTCAATTTCTGGCAGAGCTGGTGAGAGCTG